AACAATCATTACACACGCAAACGAAAATTAGTAATGTTGGTAAAGCTTGAAGGACGTCGATCCAAAACTACATTAATAATACTAAATTTTTTTTATAAATTAATAAGAATCTGATGCAACGAATATACTACTAATTTGTATAATTTCAGCCTGATTTAATTCCTCAAGCCTCGTTTACATCAGTCAAATTTCTCGAGGTTAAGTCGCATTTGTTGAACAAAATTGAGTCTTTCCATGCTAATGCCTACGTAACTGATGATCCTTCATGTACATTAAAAGTGACCTTTCGAAAATCACGATCTCGCTTTACTAGCCCACTTTGAGGTTACATAAAGGCAGACTGTGTTCAGAACTGGCGTCGCCACGGACTCAAAAGAAAGAAACTACTTACTACTCCATCTACAACCGTATTCACACTGAATTTCTGACATCCGTAGCTGCGTACCAGTTGCGAATTTGACCTACGCGCATGTGACATTTCTGACTGGGAATTACCCCATTAATAATATCATAATTTATTGGCATAATCGCACGACAACTCCGTATCTTACTGCACTCCATAATTCTACATTTTAAATTCCGACATTCCTTCACAGAAATGTGAATATTCAATGTCACTTGCTCCTACCTTGTACTGGAGTGTAGATGTTGAGGTACAGACAGTCCTCGCTCTGGTTCTTCAGATACGGCAGCAGCCTCTTGAGGTATTCCACTCTACCCTTCGGCATCCTCTCCAGGGCGGCCGTCTCGTTGGAGATGTCAGGCAGTTTCTGAGGACACACGGGGCCATGAGTATCCGCTATCCTCACGCCATCCCACGGCGACGGGGTTCGCGTCGGACTGAACCTATTCGATCTTACTGGAGGGGTTGCGTAAGGGATCCCTAAGAAAACTTCGACAGGCTTCAAGTGACGTTGATTCTCCATCGGTAAAACCAGGCCTTGAAGTTTTCCGTAACGCGTTTGAACTATCCGTGTACTCATTACTGGCGTGTTGCCACCATTACCACTCGCTGTACTTACACCGCTGTGGACATGTAATACCTGCAGCACGGTTACCAACTGTACAACTTGAATCCAATATCGGGGTAACACCGAGTATTTAGAAGCACGTCCTGTATATGTAAATTCACCCATAGTGGGATGAGGTTGAAGGGGAAACACACTTATCTCTTTAGATAAAAATTAAAATAATGTACTTTCTTGATAAATGGACCACACTTCACACTTACCCCCGAGTCATTTTGCTTTTAATAAACTCTTCTACATGATCAACCTAACAAACACCACAACCACCACCACCACCTTGAAACCCGTTTGGTTTTAGAGTGTAATAATCACATACGAATATGTCATTACTAAATAATTTTATCACACCAATTATGGACGTCATTGTCCACTATTAAAAAGAATTATAAAAATTTTGTTCACAAATGAGACAGAAACTTCAAATTTAACCATCAGCACTGTACATTCGTTTGGAACCCTTCTTCGTGTCCCTGGAGTGGCCGGAAACTTCGATAATGATAAAATCTTTCATTACTGGCTTTAAAAATGATCTGATATTAAACACTGAAAAAAAAATTTCATTTCTAACTTAAACATGATCGCACATGTAGATAAATATGGGGTACTGAAGTAATATGTAATATTTGCACAGTAAAATAACGGAGAACTTCGTACGAATATTCGACTATGTCCAAAAAAGCTGTTCTTTCCACATACGAACTAAACTTACTTCCAACTTTCCATGCGATATTCAACGAACAACTATGTAGTTACGCATCTGTATATATTTCTCTTCTTAGTAGAGATTCTTTATTCTTGGAGTGGTAACTTTTACTTGTAGTGGTGTAGAAACGTCATGGGTGCGTCTGAAACTGAAAAAAAAAGAAAATAATAATAATAATAATAATAAGAAACTCCTTATGAACATGTTACATAAATATCTGTCATTGTACGTTCCAGGCAAAAAAATATGTGAAATGAGCCCCTAACAAAACGATTCATAAAGCTGTCAGATCGAAGCACTTCGCTTTTTCTAGGAATAAAATGATTGGGGGAGGGGGTAGTAATCTATTATTAGTAACAACGTTTGCAGTTAATAGGCGAATGAGGTAATAACGGATCAAAACTTACGTTTTCAAAGTTAATGTTCCAGTGAATTATTAAATAGCTTTAATGTCTCCTGAGGACACATCATAATAATAAAATATAGATAACATTACGCAAAAGTTTGCGTTCTCGACTTGTCGTCCAGTGACACAAGTTGGAATAACCATTGTGGTATCTGAGGTTCTCAAGGCGGTGAATATGAAGATGGCTGTTTTCTAAAGTTTAAGGCCTTGTGGTCTGGTAGAAGTTTACCGACGTTTCAGAGATCCATCACTCATCGCCCTGATGATGGAGGCAGCAAAAACCTCTGAAACGTTGGAAAACTTCAACCAGACTGTACGACGCTACAACCCAGAAGACAGAAATCTTTTACCAGACTCTTTGACGCTACACTGGTTTTCTAAAGATCTCCGACTGATCGATTCGTCATACAAATACCGGGGTCATCGAAATTCAGTGGTGAATGACTTATTTCTGACCTTTATTCCTTAGCTCGTACCTTCGTCAATTTCGTGCCATCATATCATTTAGAGCTGAATTCTAAAATGTCCAAAAGACAACGCCGTGGCATACAGACGTACCCTGCAGTTGGCGTAGATTATAAATGAAGGCAAGGCAACGGACAGGGCGCTTTTAATAATTCTTCTGTTCGTTTCAGTTGCTAAAACCGCCACGGTTTAATTACTGGCGCTAGTATCGCTGTTTCTTTAAAATGAGATAGTTTCTTCATCATATTCTTTTGCATTCCGAAACCTTCTCTTTTTCTGTCTTCTTCTCGTCATTTCTGCCTCTTTCCTTCTATTTCGCGTTGTGTATGTGTAATTACGTGTAAGGTAGTTGTAAAAAAGGAGAAAGAAGAATTGGTAAGATGGCGTACGTAGAGAAGGGATGGGGGTGGATTGGTGGATAGAACTCTGAAGAAGTAATGGATTAGAACGGGGAGATAATACGTCTTAGGGTTCTCCGCTGAGATAAAACTGCGAGAAATGAAACACAGTGTGTCTAAAAATAATCGGGAACACCAGAAATGTGTGTTCTTACTGTTCGATAGGACAAAATAAGACTTGAAACCTGCAAGAGGTGGAATCATTTTCTGTTTGCCTTTGCTGATATCAAGAAATGTAAAAATAAAACTCTTGTCTTACAAAAGTTTTTTTAACGAGCCCTTTACAACAAGCAGGCCCTCATACACGGTACAATTTTATTTTGTTTTTCCATATGGATATGAAAATTTGTTCTCTCAGTTTGAAGAGAAAAAAAAACACTGACCGATATTCTGAAGATATTGAAATGAGGTCATTATTTCGATCCAAGACGGAGAGACATTTATCTAACGAGAAATTTTACAACTATATTCTTCACCAGATACTATTAGGTGATCACACCAAGGATAATAAGATAGTCAGGACGAGTGGCAAGCATAAGGCGATGACAAATTGATATTCAGCTTATAATCTAAAATACGAGGCGCGTCCTCAAAGTAAGTTTCCCACTCGTCCCACAGCTAGCAAACCTTATATTGCGCGAAGCGACTGTGCGTACGTGATAGAGCAATGACGTAGCATGGCGCATGCACTAACGGTACTTCCCGCGTTCTCACAGTAGCATCGTTGCAGCTGTTGAAGATGGAGGTTCTTATTCCAGCTCCCGCCGACTGTGAAGTGCGGCCAGTGATAACGCTAGGCCGCACACGGCTCGACAGACAGCAAGTCTCCTGCAGGAGTTCAGCTGGGAGGTGTTTAATCATCCACCCTACAGCCCGGACCTCGCTCCCAGTGATTTCCATCTTTTCCTACACCTCAAGAAATTCCTGTCCGGTCAGCGTCAGCGTTTTGAGAATGACAGAGAGGCGGAGATGGCTGTCACACAGTGGTTCCAATCCCAGGCGGCAGACTTCTACGACACAGGTATTAAAAGTTGGTCCCACGGTATGACAAATGTCTCAATTCCGGTGGCGAATATGTTGAAAAATAGCTGGACACTTGCTGTATCTGTTGCAATAAATATTTCCATGAAATTGTGTTTTGTTTCTGTAAACGGCCCCAGGGAAACTTACTTTGAGGACACGCCTCGTACTTCAGCGAAGACACAATAAATAAACAAACGATACAATCGAATTTATTCTACCGACGTTTCAGACACACATTATTATGTCGAATTATGATAAAGCTGTGTGTATTTTAATAACAAAGTGATCTGTCACAACATCGTAAATCTTCATGAAACACTGTGCAGCTGCAAAGTCCTCAGTGAATACGCAGAGCAGCTTTGCGTTACAAGTGTCCATTAATAACGTCGCCTACTCAAGTTAGTTTCCTCAGTCGCAATGTTACAATTTGTGTCATCACATTCAAAGCCTAGGTACGTAGTTAAGGGCACAGAAAGCCAAAACCAGCAGCTCGGCTGTGTTTATGCTAAAGCAAGCGAACAAAGCCACTGACAGCAAGAGGTATTCTCAAGTTGTTCTCTTGAATTCTATCGGCGCTAATATTACCACTGTTAAGTGCTGTGAACAACCGCCTTAGTCTGTTGAATGTTTATGAAAAGTCACCAATATAGTTATGTTTTGAAGTAGTTTTCCTCAGACTTCAGATGGACACATGCGGTCAACAGATCGGGAACACTTTCGTCAGCCAGATCTGAAAGAGCACGTGTCTACCTCTCTACTGACAACGCAGGAAGACCCATCGTGCGAAAAGATTTTTTTAAAATTTTCTTTAGATACAATTCAACAAATCATGAATAATTCCCAAAACAAAGAAAGTAGCAACATTCAGGTTCCAATGTTCTTAATTTCAGAGGGCAGAATAAATTATCTGTAACTTAATTTCCGTGAGCTTGTCCATGTGAAACCTAAAATACCTACTGCCAGAACTGTACGAATTTTGATACAAAAGCGGTACCCCTTACATATAGTCCACCCACATTCCTTATATTTTACAGAACATACGAGATCCGATGGTTTCACAGCAGTGATATTAATATTATTGTCTTCAAGGGTTACCATGCCGCAAAGCTTTTTGGATTTTGATGGTGATCTGCGGAGTACACCGTGTGGACTTTCAGGTCGATATTAAAGTTTTAGACCTGAAAATGGTGACAGTATTTCCCCCACTCCCAAACTTTGGTATCTATCTACGAGTCCACATGTAATTAGCAGTCAGATGAAAAACATCGAAATGTTCACGGTCGTTCGATCCTCAAATCTCACACGGTCTTAAAAATGGTTTCCGACGTTTCGGAGGAACACATCGTCCTAATTTAGAAAAAAACTGTAATGTATGACTGAATTCATTAAAAATGTGATGATGTATCTGTTTGTGGTTTACCTTGCTACGATCCCAGTAGATCAGACTATCGTCGGATGATAGAATGATTCATGAATGGTAAATCGGGAAGGATGCGGCCCTGACGAGGATGCAGGGTGTGCTATTTATTGTAAGTGCTTACCGACGTTTCAGACGAACGCGTCTCCGGAGATCTTCCGCCTAGGAATTCAGACAGAGGCAAATTTGACAACACGTATTCATTTTTAAGTCGACTGGGATTTCTCAAAATCACGACGACACTGCGACGCGAATTTGTGTTAGATGAGTAAAGTGTTCAAACGTGGGGATACGTTCCCCCCAACTTTCGAGCGCCTTGTACCTGGTTCCACCAGGCTGTAGCGCACATACGTTCACATGTAATCTTCTTAAGCCGTTTAATATCACGTGACCTACATTTCACAACCACCTGGCACAAGCTGGCATAGAAGTATTATTCACCGAAGTACCTCTTTCACACCGAGAAAGGCGAAAACTTAATCCCAGCATCTTACATCTCTCAATACATTTTAAGACTTCTACTCAGCTTCCAGAGTCCTAGATAAAACGTTTATTTAATACTCGGAAAGTGGTTATAGGTCAAAGTTCACTGAATATTCAGCCCACACCTTGCTCATAAATTTTGCACTGAAGGCGCATCCAGTATTACGGTTTAAAGTCTTTGGTGAATGCGAAATAAACAGGTAAGGATTCTGCGTGAAACAGCTATTTATTTATTTGAGACTAGTAGTGGAAACTAGTTGACATTTCAACAGAATGTTGTTGAATACGGTGTAGTTACGTAACAGCTCAGATGGTTTATAACAAAAGAGACGTTAAATATAAAGACGTCCCAAGGAAATTATGATTATCTACAAGGCTTCTGAAGTAGATCAAGGGATACGAAGTACAAAAGGCTATCGGTGATTAACTTTATCAACAGTCTATGGGATTCTATGAGATACTGCCACAGTAATAAACGTTTCAGTGTTTAGATGCCTCACGCGGCAGAGAAATTGTAATGAACCTTATCGACGGGCGGGACTTTGTTGGTCTTTAGCATCCATCTTAAATTGGTTCTTTGGAGCTTTCTCAAGCTGTGAACAGGAGAGACGATTTCTGGATGTGGAGGGTCCCTGAGAATGTATTAAATAAGTACTCGGAGAAAGGCGATAAGGGGTGGTCATCCAACCTGGGGACTGTGTGTGAGGGTACCAAAGTATTACAGTGAGAACTAGAATGCGATGGACGCGTAACGGTTGCTTGATATTACAGGTGTCTCGCGTGCGATCAGGGAGACTGAGAGAATGGACGAGAAAGGTCAAAGAGAGAGCGAGAGGTGGAAAAAGAATACAGACGTAGAAGAGGGCTTGTGTTCTGCGTGAACCTTAAGGAGCTTTGTGCTAGAAAAGTAAAGAAGGAAAAAAGGAAAAATGAAAAGACTCCTATCCTCTCACCCA